TTCGTCTTTTTTCACGTTTCCTGCTTTCCTGTGGCCTGGATACTTTTCTGTGTTTTGGCGAGTCTAACACTGGCGTTTATAAATTCAATCAAGGATTCAAAAACCACTTTATCGGCTCCCATGGTTTCTGTGATTGTATCGATTGGTAGTAGTGCTGAAATGGTAGTGAAGGGTCCATACAACTATGATAATGATCTCCCATGCTCCAGTTCGGACATGCGTGTAAATTTATTTCTTTTATGAGCTGCATATGAAGCTATGGAGTATTACATACAACTCTGACCAAAAGTTACAATGTAGTATCCACTCTACTTCAACTTTAGAGCCTCTTAAATATCAATGAAATTCAGACTCTTTCATGCCTGTTTCTATTCCTTGTAGAACATTGGTTGCATGCGCACACCTGCTTTTAATGCAGATTGAGCCCTTATGACCACGATATCCTAAATATCCCTTTAGTATCTTATTTCAAGTATCGACACCGCGGGTAAAGGGGCACGAAATGGTAGACAAGCAAAACTTACCACAGCATGATCCCCGCACCCGCAAACATCGCTGCAAATTGTTGCAAGGTTTTCCTAAACTCGACAGATTTATCTTTTCCAGTCTCTAAAAGCTCCGGTATAACGGCAACGGTGCCCACGTATAGGAACGTTCCGGCCGTAAACGGGAGGAGCAAATCTCCAAGCATAAGACTGGTACCCAGCAAGCCAGTAGAGGATGAGGAAGTAGCAGAAGCCGCATCGCCACCCCCAAACTCTTGAATAGCAATTCCAATAAAAGTGCCCAAGAATGCACCGATTGCCGTAACGAACTGTGCACCCATGGCTTTCCTCTTCGAGAAGCCAGATTGTATTAACAGGGCAAAGTCACCGACTTCATGGGGAATTTCATGGAAAAATACGGCCACCGTGGTGGTAGCACCGACGGTTGGCGAGGCGTAGAATGAAGACGCCATCGCAAGACCGTCCGTTATATTATGCGTGAAGTCAGCGATAAGGTTAAGATAGCCACCCAGCTTTACACTTGGGTTGATTTCTTTTTCTTCACTGACGTGGGGTGTAGACTTTTCCGATTTCCGCTGTCTTAGTGTCTCGTCTGAGCTCTTGGTAGATCTGGAAGAGCCGGTGGCTAACGCCACATCGTCGGCTTTAGGAGCTGCTGGTGAATGAGAATGGCTGTGATCATGGCCGCCTTCTCCGCCTGTGGCTATCCGGAGTGTTTTATCCATAGCGACAAAAGTAAGGAAGCCAACTAGGATGGCAACACCAAGGAGTAGATTTCGGTTGGGCTCGACAAGAACGAAACGAACGTGTTGAGGGGAGTCTTCGCCCAGGAAAATCTCCGGAAGGAGATGGAAAAGGGTGTCCCCTAGTAGTCCACCTACAGCGAATGCAACCATCACTGAAAGTGAGGAAGGGTCGATATTTGGGGGGCATAATGCCAAGAGGAAATCTAGGCCTTGTTCAGAATGCGTAGTATCAAATATGTGAAATCCAAAGCGGCTTACTTGGAGGTCCGGAGATATAAAATGTGGCTAAAATAGCATTGACAGCAGGGCTGCCAGGGAATAGAATTGCAAAGATCTTCGAGGTTAAACTGGTAGTTTGCGGAGCAGTTGCCTGCTTATGCGCATTCAATGACTGCACCAAGGGACATTCCTGGTAGAGCAGTATATATTAGATACACAGCCGACTACACGCATTGAGTTTGCTAAGCTGAGTCTGATATCCTTACTTGCAGCTTTTCTTCAATTTGAGGCGCCGTAAGTTCAGCAACGGAGGCCTGCTTAGTGTGAGCGATGGCCGAAGTGGACAAGGCTAAGATAAGACATGACAAAAAGAGAATTGAAGCCTGGCGTCTTCCACCCAAAAAGGCCTTCAACGTCATCATCGCTGCTCCAAGCTGTTAGATATGCCCTAGCAATTGATGCTGTCTCTGGCCCCTGGCGTTGGAGCTGCGATGTTTTGATACGATCGACACGTGAGCCTGAGCTATTTTAGGGTCGGCGGCAATTATGTAATAACGCGAGCTTGGCACTGGTGAGGTACAAACATGCCAAGGCCAATGCAAACCAAACGTCGTGCATCAATATTTTACAACACGGCGATGGCTATCGACAGGCTTTGAAGCAGCAGGACAACTGTGCAAGCATCCATTATGGGTCGAGTCCTGCAGAGAAAGAAGAATCGCTCTTCTACGCCCAAGATCAAAATTAAGAGCAAAAAGGCAAAAAACGGAAAGAAAAAGATCAATGTTCTGGGCAACGCAATCATAGCCAAAAACTGGTCGGTACTTCTCTGGCCCCTTCATCGATATCTGCAATGACCAACACATTTTCTTATTAGGGATAAGAAGTTGACTCTTACCCAAAATTATCACCGCCTTGGATTAGCTACCCGTTTAAATGCGCCAGCCGGCGGTGTTGAAAAGGACGTTGAGCCGCTACAGCCCACAATTGATGCCGGCGAATCCTACAATCCCTTAGCTATCAAAGGAAAGAGAGATGTTCAAGTGCAACCAGGCGAAGCTCGTGTGGAACGCGACCCGAAAACTGGCAAAATCCTGCGCATAATACGAATCGAAGAAGAAGGAGAGCACGAAGAGACAGTCGAGATTGCAGGCCGCAAGCGCAGAAAAATGAATCCTCTCGAGGACCCTTTAAATGAACTCTCAGACGCCGAAGATTATTCCCCCAGACATACAGATGCCCCGACGGAGGTCGTGTCCGCCCTAGAAAAGCAGGCTGCGATCGAAGAAGAGAAAGTGAAGAAACGAAAACCTAGGCATCAGAGTAAACGAGAAGAGGAGTGGCTAGAGCGACTAGTAGAAAAATACGGCGACAACATTCCTGCAATGGTGCGGGATAGGAAGCTCAACCCCATGCAGCAGACTGAGGGCGATATAAAACGGAGGCTAATTAAATGGAAAGGGAATAAAAAGTAATTGCATAGGTTATTTACACATTGCGGGGGTTAGGTTTGGCGTTTATGTGGAGGACTTTTGGATGGAATGAATGAGCCACTATTTGTACACCTTTGTAATGGTGGATTTCCCAATAATGACTGCTTTTTCAATCCTGCATTTGAACCCTGCCCCGGATTTTCTATGGCTGTAGTTGATACAGTCTTCCGCTTTAAATCTTGCATATCGTGTTCCAGTGGCCCATACTTTCCGTGGGATTTGGGATACAGGCGAGATTGGAATTGCAGTGTTTGCATGTGTTGAAGTTTCCTTGCTTCCATCACTTGGATAACATGTTATTCATTATGGGAACTGGCTACATTCCAAGCGGAGTCATCCTTTAGGACCTGTCACAGATCCTGCCAAACACTTCATTTGATACCAATGGATGCACACTCTCCACAAAGCACGTGAACTGAACGGGACTTTCCCTCCAAGTATATCACTGCGAAGATAACGTGATCTCCTAAAGGGGAAGAGCCTGGTTGTGAGGGTAAACAGAAGCTCTCTCTTCCATATATAAACTTCATCCTTTGTTCACATTCTTTTTTTCTGTCTCCTCCTTCATACATATCTTTCATCAACAAAGCCTAGTATCTTTGCTCAGCTACTTGATCGATCCCATCTGTTCATTTCTGATATCTGGAAGGTTAGAGTCTGGTTAGCTGGTTTGTGTTGTGGGCTTGGTGATTCTCGTCAAGATGAAACTCACAAAAGCTTTGTTGCCATTCTCCGTCCTTGTGGCTACAGTTGCTTCAGGGAGAGTTATGTAAGTAGAATCCCTCCCATGGACCACTTGTGATATTGGCTAATAGTATCTGTGAAGTCGTCGAGGTGCATGCATTGGACTGGAAGCAGGAAGCTATTGTTTGGGAGAATCCCTTGTTCTGCAATGTTGGGGATTTCGCGATGCTGAGATCATTAATTGTGTGGACGCGTATGCCCTTTCCTGACCATTGTATCTTTTAGATCAGTATTGACTCGTCATTTAACAGGCTCACTAGCATCGAACCCATCGGCCCAAAGTTCGATGCAAGGTGTATGTTATTTCTAGCCATTTGGCACAAATATTGTCCCTAATGCCTGTTCATTGCAACTGACTGCTTCGACCAGGCCGGGCAGCTACCTCAACCCGCGCTGAATGCGTGCACAGAGCTGATGTCCATCAGCTGAAAGTAAACAACGTCAAACGCAACATTGAGTCGACAGTTGGAAGCACCGTGGTTAAGGAATCAGTGACCTACAATCTCACTCTCGGAACATCATATTCAAGCACTTGCACATCTGAAATCGCTGAAGCCACAAAGCTTCCAGTTACCCCAAGACTCGGCTTCCCTGCTTGGGTGATGGATCCCTTGACACCGCCGTATCCTACCGTGACTCGATCGCGCCTCAGCAATGCAACTATTCCGACCATTGGAAATGATGACATGCTCACATCCACCAAAGCTAATGTCACCTCTAGCAATACTTTCAACAAGTCTGCCACCGTGACTGCAACCATATCTCCTACCACCAAGCCCAATGGTTCCGGTCACAATAATGTGAAAGAGTTGATTCTTCCCCTCATTGTTGCTACCATTCTTTTCTACGCAGCCTTATGAGTTTCTCGTTAAAGCTCGTTATCTATCACCGTGGCGTCGACCGAACCACGCTACATAGGATTGGGTTGCAAGGGATCTAAAATTGAGTACATTTCCGATGCGTTAACAATGGCTGTATTTATCAAAAACTGAAAACTTGATACAAAAAAAAGAACAGAACGCGAAAATAGTCAATAACATAATGTTTCTTTAGAGTTTCGAGAAGAAAATACTGGCTTCTCCGCCGTGAAGAATCCCTTGATGCGGGAATCTTTTATCATTCTCACTTTCGAATTTCTTTCAAGTTGGCATAGACCCACTTCTGTGGATAATAAAGTATTTCCATTTTGCAGTATGGCAGCATGGGGAGGAATAAAACCTCCTCTACGGGCTAATTATCTGCGAGGATCTAAGGAATGGCATGACCGTGGTCCGATTATAATCATCAAAGAGTATCATCACATCACAGCTAGTAATTTCTCTCCAGTGTAATTACACCGCATAGCCAGAAACAAAAGCCAAGTAGCGTAGTTCTGATCTTGACGATCACACTTTGTTCAATATTTGCTGTCCCCTAAACCTTCTTCCAGGTGTCATAGGCTTTCTTGTGTTCATTGGCTTTTGACAGCTCTCGGTATACGTCTCTCTTGTCCTGTGAAAGCGGTATCAGTCATTGAATTCTTACGAATACCACCCCGCAAGACGCCACGAGTCCATTACCTTGCGGTTACCAGTCTGGACAAAAGAATTCCACTTTTTAGAGGAGGTTTGTTTGTGAGCTTCGGCCTGCCCAGAGTGGTAGGACAACATAGAGTCCTTGACGGGAAGGGAGCTGCTCGGGTTTAGGCATACTGTGTAATCCCATAAGTTACCATTTTCTTTTCATATACTTTCATTTTTTTTTCCCTTGCGGCTTGTCGGACATAGCTCGCAGCGGTTCCTGGAGTAGGAATGGATGTAAGATAACACAAGGGCTGAGTGAGCCTTAATCTGCAGAGGCGGGGGCTGCCGGTAAGGATGTGGTGGGATCGCCAACGGTTCGGATTCACAGGTCGAAGGCGTGGTATCAGTATAACTTCAGGGTCCAAATGAGGACTGTTGAAATAAAGGAAAAAGAAGGCATCTTGTTAAGCACAATGGGACTATTTATGCTCCAAAACGAGGCCCATATTGAATGGGAATCATTCAGCCTCAATCCCTCACCATGGCCTCACCAAGAAGGACCTGCAATTCCTCATCCATTCACTTGACCAGCCCGGCCATCATCACAACGCGGTTGCCCATTCATATCCTGCCACAAAGTGTAGATGCAAGAGCAGGGCTTCCGGTGTCCAGCCTTGTCACGCCTGGTACGAGGCGGTGCGAACATTCTTAGGAGGGCAGAGCCCAAGTCAAACCCCCGCTACATCCTTGCCATCCGATGTGTGTGTACTCCGTGAGAACTACATTGGCTGTAGATGCAGCCTTCCCAAGCACTCCGAGTCAGTCTGAAGGGACATGGTGGGTGCTGGAACCAATCAGTCAATGGATTCGTTTGAATGTACATATTCTGTACAGAAATTCGGATCTCTTGCCTAGGCCTTCATGACGTCTTTCGAGCAGGGAGCTTTGAGGCAGTTGTTGATGCTCTGAGAGATCTGAATTGGAGCTGGAAGCTGCTAAAGAGTTAGTTGTTGGTTTGGTTTGGTTTCGTTGGACCCCGCCGTCCCCGCAGTTCATGGCTCCTCCTAACAATAAGCAACTCGCCCGAGAGCAGGCTGCAACGGGGAGTCCAAGGGCAGCGCCCCCCAGTTCAAATTCCAGCCCTGGAACCCTCATCGTTCCTTAATAAAAGGCAGCAAAGGACCACCTGGAGCCTGATTTTCGTAGATACTATGTAAGCCAGCTCTATAGGACCAAGTGGGATAGTAGTTAACTAATCTAGCCCATGGCATCTCTCGAACAAGCCTTTGAAGAAGCTTGCAGCGCCGGCAGAATTCCCCATGCCGTGCTCGCAGCTTCAAGCAAAGATGGTACGTGTATAACTACGCTGTTTCCTCCTCAGACTGCAGCTAATTTGATCTCTCTCCAGGCAAATTCACGTACACCAAAGCGTTCGGCTTCCAGCGCCTGGATCAAGACCCCAAACCACCCATCAAGGAGGATGATATCATGGCGGTAGCCTCCTTGACTAAACTTATGACTTCGATTGCGGCCTTGCAATGCGTCGAGCGTGGGCTAATCAAGCTCGATGACGATGTTGCCGAGATCCTACCGGAGTTGGCGGATTTGGAGATCTTGGAGTTTGACCCCCAGACAAAGGAGCCAATCTTGAAGAAACGGCAAAATGCGATTACCTTGCGGTGAGCTCCCAGTGCTTGATTCAATAGCCGCTCTATCTAATAGCCACAATAGCCATCTCCTCACCCACTCCGCTGGCCTCGCCTACGAGTCCATGAGCCCCCTACTCCAACAATATAACAAGATAATGGGACGACCAGCCAACACCAATACTACCATCACGACTCGTTTCAACTGCCCTCTTCTCTTCGAACCAGGTACCGGCTGGAGCTATGGGACCAGTCTCGACTGGGTTGGTCTACTGGTGATGCGGATCACCAAATCAAGCCTGGAAGACTATATGCGACAGAATATTTGGCGGCCCTTAGGAATAGAAGCAGACACAACATTTTGGCCTCTCGAAAATGCGTCACTCAAAGATCGGATAGTCGGGATGACGATTCGTGACCCTAGCATTCCTGACCGCAAGGGCAAGGTTCTCCCATATAACGGGCCCCCAGTAATGGGCGTCGTGACAGAAGAGTGTGGGGGTCATGGGGTATCGATTTCTATTCCATCTTTTATGAAGGTGTTGAAGAGCCTGCTTGCCGACGATGAGAAGCTGTTGAGGAAAGAGACCGTAAAACTGATGTTCGAGCCGCAGCTCTCAGCGCAAAGTCAAGCAGCGTTGCAAAAGATTTTCGCCTCAAGAAAGGACAGTCAGTCGTTTAATGCCGACTTTCCAGAAACATGTCGATATGACTGGGGCCTAGCGGGTATTCTGATTTTGGATGATGTTCCCTGGGGACGGCGGAAGGGGACCATGTTGTGGGGCGGGCTACCGAATCTATTTTGGGTACGTATACTTTCACCAGCTCGTTTCTCGATTCGGATCGGTTGTGACTGACTTCGGAATCTCCCTAGTTCATTGATAGAGAAGCGAATCTCTGCGGCGCGTACGGTGGGCAAGTCCTCATGAACGGCGATCCACAAGCGATGGAAATGATCTCACTGTTCGAAAGAACAATGTACGACCGCGCATCTAAGATGTAAAATATAGTCGGAGTATGTTGGAATGTTTGCCCTGTAGAATCGGCAGTATTGGTCGAAGTCATAGGACCAAAGCTGTAATCAAGAAGCACTTGAAAGCTTCTCATCAACCTTGACCCTCTGGACGATTCGGATCCACCTTCTTCTTCTCCATTCACCGGTCCTATCGGCCTGCTTGGTCGCCTCTTCCCATTCAACTTTAGAGTATCTGTCCTCTCTTGAAGTGCCATCATTCCGCATGTCATTACCTCTAAGTTCATCCGGCTTACCGCGGAGCCCTTCAGGAGGAGGCTGGAATGGCAGGTCCCAAACCCAGCCACCAACTTCTTCGCCGATCCCGTCGCCGGTGCTGCTGGGAACTTCAAACTCTACCCCAGTAACCATACGTTCCATTACCCATTCTCTGCATTCTAAATCCAGCTCCCATTTTTTCCCTTTCCAAGCCCAACCACGTGGAGGGCGCACATCTTCGAAAAACCTGGTGCCCTTGGGTCGGTCACCGGCAATCCTAGAAGGGCAGAGCGGGTCATAAGGGGACGAAGTAAAGACGAACGACTCCCATTCAGAAGTTCCAGAAAAGGGTGAAAATGTTCGGTGCTGGAGTTCGAATATCTCAACCTCGCGCTCTTCTGGGTATGAATCGAGGGAGAGTGCAACTAGCGACTCTAATCGCTCCAAAACGCCGGAAAAGGTTGTCGGGATTTGGATTCCAAAAGCTACGATATTCGATTTCAAATTCTTTTCCTTTTCCCTCTGAGTATCCTCTTTCGCTTGATCTTCGCGTGGCTGGAAAATGTTTAAGACAGCTCCGGTGCGAGGGTGGCTAGATAGGATAGCCATGTTGCCTCCAATGAGGAAAATAAAACGCCAAGGTAAAAGGTGGGCTGTCAGAAAAAGTGAAACTGCGAGAACAATAGATAAGAGGAATAGCATTGATGAAAAAGTCTCGTTGGAGAAATTTGTGGCCGGTGATATTACGGCAACAGCGGTATCGTGAAGAACAGAAAAGTCAGCCATGGAGTTTTGCAAGTCCCTCATATTATGAAAAAAATCCTTCGAAGTTTCGGGAACAGGTTTGATGGTTTTGGCGGGAGCAAGTGCCGGGCCTTCGTAGGAGTAGTAGGGCGTCGTGCTAGAAGTCGTGGTAGTCGGAGGAGGCGGAGGGTGGCGTGCTAGGAATGCGGGAATCATGATAAAGAAGAGAAGGATCACAAAAGGGGATATTAGGAGCAAGTAAGGGTCTAGGCATATAAAAGAGTAGACGAAAAGGAATGACCAAGTCTGGGTTGGCTTTCTCCAGCCGAACAGCTTCACAAGCTTGTTTTGAAATTGAAAAACGATGCCAATCCTATCGAGCTGTTAGTCATTTGCTTGCGTCTGCGTCAATCGCTGCTCACCTAGCATTGAACCGTCGGAAGTTGCTTGTCATAGTCGGAAGACTAAACGGTGGCGGCTGGTGGCGCCTTGCATCCAATGTATCATCCTCCTCGTCGCCATCTTCCGCTGGTATCACCTGCTGAAGAAGTCTACAGGCCAGGAACCACGACGTTAACCCTTGTCATGTCCCCTATGATAGCTCGCACCTTACCTGGAAAACAGACGATCTTGTAAGGATTCAGGATGGCTATCGGTGCGGTCGGGCCGCATTCCCTGTAGTTTTTCCCTCACATACGTCGCAGATAGCCTGTTTTTGGATGGGACTTCGTGGTCCCCGTTGTCGATGCTAATGTCAGGAACAGGCTCATCTCGATTCACAAACGTTTCTGCTGTTTCTTCGTCCATTGTCGGCAGTTGGCTGGATAGTCGGTACCCACTGATCAGCCGCAAATAGGCTCAGTAGGGCATCCCATTGCTCGGTGCAAGGCGCTATCGGGTCAAGTTTGAGATGGAGTTGGGAGTCATTCACCCGCAGAAGGCAGGACGTGGTTGCTGGCCATCAATGCATGTGATATGTCGTCACGCGATAGGCCGGCGCGATGTTTATCCGCAGAAGAAAATCTTAGTCAGCTATTTTCCCTTGGCTTCCCCGCAAAAAGCCCTTTTTCTTTCGGCTGGAGAAAAGGGGCTGGCGGTTGGTTCTGATAGCAGTTCGAACAAAGGCGGTCCGCATCATTCTTCGTGGAAGAACAGAGCGAAAGGCCGGGATCGTCTCCCTACTTGGGCCCAGGCGATGCAAGCAGGTCATAGCTCTGCCCCCCTTTGTCTAGAGCTGTACGTTGTTAGCCCAAGAATCCCGTGCGGCACGAAGGCATATGAAAACCGATCGTACCCCGTATAGAAGAGTTTTATCTGAGAAATGGAAAGGGGATTTACTACTCCGTATGCATGGTTAAATGCACGAAGTACGCCGTCGTGAATCGCTATTCTGGTTGCGTCCCGAGTCAGCCATAATATTTGCCATTAACTCCCCCTTTTGATAGCGGAGCATTTAGGACATGGAATATGCTAGATAGAACAATTAGAAACTTCCTATTCCGCATTAATATCTCCATTCTCTCATTTCGATTCATGAAATTAGCGGCAATTAAAAGAGTGCATGCTGTTTCCCGACCAACTGCCTCTTCAGAGCTGGCGGTGACTAAGCCGTCACCCCAAACTTTAGCCCGACTCATGGTAGCTGGGCGGCCCGTTACTTTATTGCGACCTCCCATTCCAAAATAATAGCAGAAAACAATCCGGGTTCTCGAGATCGAGCAATTCGTCTCAATCCCTGCTGCTGTGCACCGCCCGTGAACGATCTTGCGGCGCACTCATACTTGCTGCTGGGTCTGCCGTTTTCTCAGTGCCATGGATTGGTAGCAGGACTCGACAGGTCACTCCTCTCGAAGACCTGCCGCTTCCCGGCAAGCGAGGAGGACTGCCATTCCCTCTGGGCGTCTTTGCCGGCCTCGAACACGTTTGATATTCCTAGCTGTGTGCTTCTAGGGCATTTCTCTCTCTTCGTTGCAAAGCGAGCTCCGTTGGGGACGCGGTTTACCACCCATGGTGACTTTTGCTGGGATTTCGACCATGTCGAATAAGATGACCTCTCAAAGACTACCCAAATCGTCCCGATCTCGGTTATCTCAGTCAGACTCGTCAACTCGCGACCACAATGACAGCTCAAGCTCCGGAGGTATGGAATAATGACATTGTTTATGGTTTTTGATCTAATTGGCGTGTGAAAAACCCTGCTGACAGCGCAAACCACCAATCGTAGCAGAATTACCATCACGGAAAGCCTTGCACAGGAGCGCAATGAACGCCTCCATTTCTCAATCACAACCGCAAGCTGCGAGTGCAACTAGTGTCGCTGGCTCCAGAAGGAGAAGGTCCATCCTCGAACGTAGATCAACGTTTGGCTCCCGAGATGCCGATGCTACACGACGGTATGATAGACCAGGAAACATATTCTCGAAAAGCTCTAACGTGCATTTACAGAATCGTGTCGAGCACAATCGGCACACAAATGCCTTCCGCAAATTCGTCGGTAGATTCGGTTAATCCCCCTTCGCGCCCTGTTAACTCAACGTCCAACGAAGGAACCGACACACCGTCAGAGAACGGAGATTTCCTCGTCCCGATTAATTTTGATGATTTTCATAATAGCATCACGTCCAAAGAGCCGAGCTTGAGTCACTTCCCTCTGCCCGGCCATGGCGGGATTGGTTACGATGGAAAATCAGGTTCTACGAATCCTACAAACCGCTGGACAGCCACCCCAGCGATTCAGGGTGTCAAGGAACCCCGTCCGTCGGGTATGGTTCGACGTCTCAGCAATGCTAACCGCTCCGCTACTGGACCTAAACCCTCTGTATCGTCCGTCCCTTCAACCGCACGAGCGAGACGCCAAAGTTATGTTCCTCCTGTGCCTCCAAGCGTGGTAACTACACGTCGTCCTCGCAAGTCCATTGGCCCAGGAAGCCTGGTATCTGATAATGGCGATAACAATATCCCTCCAACGAGGAGGCCAAGCTTTTCTAGAAAGAAAGTAGTGGACGAAAATCGCATGAGCTCTAATACAGTTTCCCGCAACTCCCACGATACCTCCGACTCTGCTTTCCATTCAGCGGCGTTAAACGCAGCCCGCAGTCAAAAGGCAAGGTCATTGCAACCGCCGAGCCACAACCGCTACGATACGTCCACCACTCCATCTACCACAGCTGACGATTCTAGACATTCCACTGGCAATGTAATTCGCACGCCTGTGAAGGGTGCAGTTAGCAAGACGACCACCCCGTCTTCCTCCAAAAGAGTTTCAATGATGCCGCCTCACGCCACCGGATTAGGTGCCCGTACCATTAGCCCTACGGACGCGAGACGGATGAAAAGGATGTCGCTTATCCCACATCCGCCTCCAGTACCGCGAGCGTCCCCTACTCATCTTGAACTAGGGTTTCCACGCCCCCGGTCCTCTGTTCAATCACCCTCAGCGATACCAAGGAAAAGCGTGACTCCTTCATCTACAAGGACAACTCCGGATCCTCAGCGCAAATCATACGGCTCGGGTATATCTTTGTCGTCTAATACGAGTTATAACTCTGCCCGGAATTCTAGTGGCTCCTTACAGGCGAGGCTTTCTCAAAACCTTTCAACATCTAGGCTACCCACTCCTAAACTTCGAACGGAAAATAATGGGAGAAACGAGGACGATGTACCTCCTGTTCCTGCTATTCCTAAAGTTTACGAGTCACCAAAGAACGACCAACAGCTATCTTTCACCCCCCGAAAATCTAGCTTACCGCTGGAGGTTCCAAACTTTGCTGATACGTCTCGATTGGATTCAGACTCCAATTCTAGCCGCCCTGGCGAGAGTGTCCGTGTATCGAAACAGAATTCTGAAGAAACCCCCGTCAAAGAGCTTAAGTCCCGGCCACCGGTCAACATTACCAAAAAGAACCTCCAACCGTTGAAGCTTCCGCCCCTTAACTTGCTACCTCTAAGCATCCCGATCAATACTAAAATCAACGCTTTACGCGATAAAGCCTCCCAAGACATGCCGCCGCAATTGTGTGCAACTCCCCCGCGACAAATTAACGCGAAGACTCCAATCACACCTTTGACTGCCTCCAATGCTAGCTTCTTCAATGCTCTACCGCCTGGCGATCAAGCCCGTAGCAATACCTCGCATTTCGCATTGAGGACTGACTTTACGAAATTCCGCGCCGAGAACAGTTCCAGTGCGTTTGACACTTTGGAAATTTCTTCTACTAGAAATATTTCCCCGTACATCTCATGTTCCCTCCCACGGGGCAATGAGGAACCCGGTTTTATGCCAAACCATATTTCTGATGCGTATGCGCGGGCGATGAACAGCAAACTTACAGGACCAAGGCCACAGACTCAGTTTTCTTCGATTTCTAACGCAGATTTATTCAGTTTTGGTCTCACGCCAGACGATGCTGAAACGGAAATCAGCTTTCCTCCTCCTCGTTCTCCGAGGAGGAATGAGGACCAGGTCAATTCGAAAATACAAACCATATCTAATTCGGCCAGAGATCCCGTCAAGTTTGATAGTATGCCACCACCCAGACTTCCAGCCTCCGCGACTTGGAATCACCTTTCTGCCCCACGTGTCAGCCCAACCGCGAAGCCACCCCAGCTCCAATCGAAGAGAAGCACTTCGATTTCGAATTTAGTTAGTGTACCCTCACCGCGAAGAAATCAGAGCGTCAGCAGTGACCAAGGCCTTGGAGCGAACCCAAGTCCGTCCACTGACTCTGGAGACGTGGAAACCCCAGCCAATCGGTCAAATTCGTCAATTTTATCGCCTGTTCATAAGCTTTTGGGTGGGTCAAAAGTTTCACCTACTGCAAGAGCTCGTCTTCAAGATCAGAGCGGTGATCGAGATGACCTCGCGGCCGAAGAAGAGATGCGAAAACTCGGTACTAAACGGAAAGACTTTGAGGTTGCTGCGCGAGAATTGGAAACGCTTCGTCGCAGAGCAAGCCCTAAAGAGCGTGCATCTCCCGCCCAGGCTTTAAAAGTCGCTAATCTTAATATATTTGAACGGGGTGAAATCATCGATTTCAAGGACATATATTTTTGTGGCACTCATAAAGCCAAGAAACTCGTGGGTGACCTGAACGCTTCAACCGCTAATTTTGGCTACGATGATGAGCGTGGCGATTATAATATTATAATTGGGGACCACCTTGCTTATCGGTACGAAATTGTCGATGTTCTCGGGAAGGGGAGCTTTGGACAAGTTGTTAGATGTGTGGACCACAAGACCGGTACACTTGTCGCAGTAAAGATCATTCGGAATAAGAAGAGATTCCACCAGCAGGCCCTTGTTGAAGTTAATATATTACAAAAGCTGAAGGAATGGGTAGGTGTTGCAGATTGCTATTATGCCAATTCAACGCGAATTGTGAGCTGACAATAAGGCATAGGATCCCCATCGCCGTCATAGTGTCATCAACTTCGTTCAAAGCTTCTATTTCCGTGGTCACCTTTGTATATCGACCGAGCTCCTTGGGATGAACTTATACGAGTTCATCAAGGCGCATGACTTCCGCGGGTTTTCAATCAAATTGATTCGACGTTTTACGAAACAGATCTTGAGTACTCTTATACTCCTCCATAACAAGAGGGTCGTGCATTGTGATTTGAAGCCGGAAAACATCCTGCTGGTTAACCCCATTCAGAGCGGGATTAGAGTCATCGATTTCGGCTCTAGTTGTTTCGAGAATGAAAAGGTGTACACTTACATTCAGAGCCGCTTCTATCGGTCGCCGGAAGTCATCTTGGGGATGTCCTATGGGATGCCCATTGATATGTGGAGCCTCGGGTGCATCTTGGCCGAACTTTATACTGGCTACCCGCTGTTCCCTGGGGAGAACGAACAGGAGCAACTGGCATGCATTATGGAGGTCTTTGGCCCTCCAGAAAAGCATCTTATTGAGAAGAGTACTCGACGAAGGCTGTTCTTTGACTCGACCGGGAAACCGCGTGATGTAATTTCATCAAAAGGTCGTCGCAGAAAACCGAGCTCTAAAAGTCTCCGGCATGTTTTGAAATGTGATGACGCCGCGTTCCTTGATTTTCTCGCACGATGCCTCAGATGGGACCCCGCTCGCCGTGTTAACCCGCATGACGCTATGAACCATGAGTTTATCACAGGAGCCAAGTTTAATCCGCGTGCGAGGTTGCACTTGACAGCTGCGAGCCACTCCCCTGCGAAACGACACACCTCGGGATCTACACCGGGTGCACGCCCGCTTCCGGAACCGCCATCGAAACCCGGATTAGGGCGAACCCGAGATTCATCGAATAACTCGCCTGTTAGACCTGGTGCCGTGAAACGCCAGATGACCCAAAACATAACCTCCACGGTAGCAGCAAAGCGAACGTCTAACGGGCCCCCACCCGCTGCTGGTTCGGCACTTCCAAGAGTTGTCGGAAGAAGTGTCAGTGGAAAGCCAGACCTTGCTGCTGCTGCTGCGGCAACGAGTTTGGTAAGTCATTCTTGTTCGCCTTACAACATCATCCGCTAACAAGACGGCGCAGAAAACTAGAGTTTAGTTGGTATCCATTTTCTCGGGTCTTCTTTTTATCGAAGCAATTCCTGTTTCCTATTGGAGTACCCTCAAGGGTAGTTTATCTCTTGAAGATTCAATTCATACTTCGCGGCTGTCGTCAACCCTTATCTGTCTTCCTTTATGTCGTGGCTAAAGTGTGTTCCGGTTGTTGGGCTTTAATGGTGCATTTTCATGGTTGCGGAGTGCGTTATGATGTTATAAGATTGGCTCATTCTGAATAGCCAATTCTGCATGAAATCCGCATGGGCTTTTACGCCCTTCTCCCTATTCCCCCTGCATCTCCTTTGTGGCTGTCAATGTTTCCTACTATATGAAACAAATTTAACATACTCAGTT